CTAGAATAGCCTAATACAGGTAGAGCCTAGTTTTAGAACAATTGTGTTAAAAGAATATATTTTTTTTCCTAGAAAAGGAAAAGACTGTCGCTGTTGGCAGGTACCCCAGAGTACAACATTAAAAGGTGATTAAGGAGTCTGTTGATGAAACACAAATGTTTCTACTATTGATTTACTTCAGAACACTACAGAGTTCATGGACTATGCGATTGCATTAGGTTGAGACTCATATTTTGTTTCTAAATCACTACGTTTCAGAAATTATTTTATCTCCGCTTGCAGAATCTGACTTGGCGGCCGCACAGTAGTTGCTCCGTACAAGGCTGACGCTGCGTTATGTTAGTGTGCCATGTCTGCTGTAATCTTATCACAAGACTGTGTTCATGCAAATGGAAATTCCACTTATGGTTGTCTTAAGAATCGCCTTTAAACAACATGGGCTATCTGGTTCTCAACTTCAAGCAATAAACTGTTCGTTGTGGCAATCTTAGTATATGTGTCTTGTTTTATTTTAATATTTTGTTTTTCACCTGAAATGGTTTTATAAGACTTCTAATTTTCTATCCCTATGCTATTTGAAAAAAATCGAAAATACCCTCTGTAGTTGGATATATCGGGGATAGTGCATTTGACTTCACCTATTCCTGATGTAGATAGAGACCATGCACCTCAAGCAAAAAAGCATTTTATTTAAAAAGAAAGGCAAAAGTGCAGTAACCCATTGCAACCAACCAGTTGGAATCATTGATTTTACTGCCCATAGTTTGTGTTCACACCAGCTTCTTTAGGCCAACGGAATATAACACTATTCAATTGGGTTTATTTAAAAATGCATTACCCACTACTTTTTGTGTGCAACCATATAATGCATGTTCTGCAAACAAGGCCAATCAATTATTTCCAATAAGAACTGATTTTCTTCTGCACTATAAACATAACATGAAGATGCTTCTGTTGTGAACAAGCCCTAAACCAATGAAAGCTTATCTCTGGTTAGTCCCTATGGGTAACTCCACATCAGTGTCATTAGACAAAAGTAAATGTTTTATCAGTGTCACAGGACATTCACAAATAAGAAATGTGTATATATTGGACGTTTATGCAGAAATGACATACATTTTTAATACTACTTTGCCATAAATACATGAAGAATTGTCAATTTACCTACTCTGTTATGATAATGACTTCTACATAAAGAAACCAAGAGAGAAGCAAAACATTTAAAGGAAATTGGATATAGAAGAAACATGGAGGCCACACATGCTGGCCTCTCCTAAAGATAATGCTGTTTACCTGTCATTCTGACCCTCTGATTTCAGTGCTTTAATTTAGTCATATAGAGGTTTCCTAATCTGCATACTTTTTCTGAGTCAGTGACTTTAAAAGTATTTAAGTGGATCAGTATAACAGCCGGGAAGCTCACATTTTCAGAAGGAACTCCGCAAAAGCAGCTCCTATATTTTTCTCATGACAGGCTGATAAATGCTATGAAAAACATTGCACTTACTGTGACTAAGTGATGGAAGAAATCATAAGACTAAAAGGAAAAAATCCTGGAAAAATACAAGCTTTTGTAAGTTCACTTAAAGTGACACTAAACGCAGGAGTTAAATCTTAAAAATGCCATCAAGGACCCTAACAAAAATATATCTTATTTATGTATCACTCGGCTGTAGATTCTCAAATCATCTCTGAATTGGTGCTGACACTGTCCTTCCTTCTGGAGGGTGGCTACTTTTCTTATCCATTGTCGGTGTGTGTTGTAAAGTAGTCACCGCTCCAAGCTCACTCCTATGATGGTCTACAATCTCATGTTTAGTTTACTAATTTGTACTGGAATTGTAGCCCATCACTGGAATGAGCTCGGAGTGGTGGCCAACACACACAGGGACCATGGGGGATCAAAAGTAGCCACCCAACAGAAGGAAGAACAGTGTCACCACCAATTCAGAGATGATTTGAGGATCTACAGCCGAGTGATACACAAATAGGATACATCTCCATTAATAGTTAAGATACTTGAATGCATTTTTAAGATGTAACTCCTACATAACTGTAAGAGGGAAAGACAGACATGTTAAAAAAAAAAGTTTTTTAACTCCTGAGTTTAGTGTCACTTTAAACTTTGAATCTATATTATATAATGTGTATTTGTAGCTCTTATACCTAATAGACAGTTGTTAATTAAACTGTTTTGGATAGCAACATATTTGTCATTTTGTTTAGTCATGCTTGTGTTTCACACATCTCTACCATACCATATAATGAGAGTGTGACGACTTAACAGATCTGCAGCTTCCTGTGTAACTGTGTATAGGGCAGATGTCATAGTTATAATACGCCACTGTATGCAGGTGTATTGTAGATGGAATGCTCAGTCAGCTGACATGTGCATTCTGGATAGCATGCTTGTTCTGTTACTCACAGATAATAGGCGCATATTTTTTTAACAATTTTTATATTCTCATAATTAGCTGCCTATAGCTGTTTTAGAGTACTGATACATCAGGTAATATTTTTCCCCTAGAGATTTCAATGTAATGCATTCCCAATTACAGAAAATATGGAGAATAAGAAGATTGTTTTTTTACTACAGCTGCAACAGACAGTCTAGTGCAGGTAGAGTAAAGGGAAAAATAGAATAAGGATGAAGCTATGCTAATAATGTAGTCCTCAGTTCTGAAAATAGTCTGTCCATCCAGTAGAACGTATATACCAACAGAAAATACATATTTTTGTACCAGTAGCTTTATTGGAAGGCAAGATTTTTGCAACAAAGCTATGCTGACCTCAGTATAATTCTTCCTTTTATAGTGTAAAGCCCATTACACACTGCGTGCGAAGCCGTTCAAAGCAAAGCTGTCAGGCACGGAGGTTTGCATGTAGTGTGTGAGCGGAGCGTGGCTAAATGAAAGACTGCATCTCCAGCCAATTGGCTCGTGCATAACAACCAAATGGACTTTGCATCCTGACACCGAGGTTTATACGCGCGAGCTGATTGGCTGAAGATGAAATTTTTCATCTCGTCACACTGAAATATGTACGGTCTCGCAAGCTGACGTGCCGGACTGAAAATGACATGACACACTGCACAAGAAGGTCTGCGCACCACCTCTCTGCGCTTTTTCGCGTGCAGTGTGTCACACCCTTTAAAGAGAAGAGCATATTGCCATTTCCTGCTAGAAGCACTGGAGGATCATGCATCTATACACCTTTGCCTTCTGCTTCTTGTCAACAGTACTAGCGGCTTCCTGTACACATTCAGCTGTACCACCTCATGAGCACCTCTTTCTCTGCTGTGTTGCACTCAACTCCCTTTTACATTGCTACATTCTCCTTCCTGTGTGTGTGTTTCCCCTTTTGATGTAATTCTGAGTTACATAGTTACATAGTATTTGAGGTTGAATAAAGACATTAGTCCATCAAGTCCAACCTATTAGGATCTCATTCTAGGAGTACCTGTACCCCTGTATATTACGGTCCCTTAAGAAATCGTCCAAAAGTTTCTTGAACAATTCCACATTATTTGCTGAAATCACCGCCTGTGGCAGTGAGTTCCAGACCCTAACTGATCTTACTGTGAAGAACCCCCTTCGCCCCTTGTGCTGGATAAAAAAAAAAAAGGGAACAGTTTAAAAAAACTGACAGAAAAGGAAAAAGAGTTTTTAAATACTAAAAAAGGGTCTAAAAAGGAAAGGAGACAACAAGTATTAAAAAAATCAAGCACTCAATATATCCCAAACAGTTCAAATCCAAATTTTTTAACGCCACTTAGCTCCCAGGCACTTTGTTCTCCAAGCCCTGTGTGAGCAAAGGAGGCACACAGACTGTAGAGTGGAGGAATCCCAAGAAGTGAAGGTCGTGGGCCACCCCACATTCACATACAGGGCACCTAAATTGGTGTGGGCACACATAGCCAGGGCAGGCAATAACACACACACAACACATTTGTGTTGTAGGAAGAGTGTGGTGGCCATTTGGTGGAAATTCTACTTCTGCTCCTTACATAGCATGACAATCTGCATGGTAAACAGCGATGTGCATATGGGGGAAATTTCCATGTTGTATACCAACTTGTTAAAGGCTGGGATCTTGAGAATTAGGGTGGCTTGGTTGGTGCAGATGCACAATGTGCTCAGTGACATGTAGGAGATGGCATCAATGCAAGTTTAGCACAAGGACACATGGAAAACAATTTTTATGCACCTTGTTAACTCCATACCGGTGCATTGCATTTGTTTATTTGCAACCCAAAAAAAATGCATGCCAACACAACATACCTATCATGATACATGTTAGAATTTTGACCCTTGATATGACCTGTACAGAAAAATGCATATTTGATGAGCCATGTGCCCACATAGTCCTTTAACCAAAGGTTATCCGTTGCAGTTCAGATGGTCTTGCTAACTTATGTAATAAAGGATGCTTCTCAAAGTGGGCAGGTACCTACATCCGTAATTCACAAATTAAATTCTTTGGAAAATCATCATGTCAGACCTCAAGGGTGCCCTCATACACGCATATATTTATTTTATTTTTATAAAAAACTAACACCAATGGAACACATTTATAATGGAAAGTGAATATTGATACGGACACCTTCTATATTCCTTGGAGTTTTTCCCCTTTCAGGGACTGGGTCAATAAGTCCAAATACTGTAGCTCTTACTATTTCACTTGAAAATTTCTATACACGCACATGTACAGTAGTAGAAATCCCAGTCCTGAAGGTGACAAGACTCAACGTGTTTCACAGAATATCTGCCTAATCAGAAGGTCTCCCAAGTATCAACTTTTGCAATCACTTGAACTAAAAGATATAGGTCAATTCTATCTGAACTCAGGGTGCCAGCAACTCATAGTCCCATGCAGTGTATGTAGAGATATTGATTGAAAAGGGCAGGATAAGGTAGATATCATGTTTCCTATTCACAGTCCACACATCTATGATGTAAAAAGACAAATGCTTAAT